ACACACACGCTCACACAGACAGACACACACACACAAACAGACACACACACACAACACACACACAGACACACAGAACACACAAACACACACACAAACTCCACATTGGTTAAGTTTGTGAACTCCTACCTGCAGTCGTGTTTTTCAAGTTCAAAATGCGGGTTAAAGTTCAGCAGGATCTTCTGGTGGCTCTCAGGGGCATAGATGACCCATTCACACATCTGGTGCGCCGTGTAGTCCTGTGGGTATCCAGGCGAGGTGATGTAACCTGCTTCTCCTGCGTTTAAACGTTCCCCACATTGTGCCTCTCCTGAAACAGGAAGAACAATAACTGTTGGTGAGGAGGACATGCTTGCCTTGAAATGCGACTCTACAAATATTGATGTTGGCCCATGGATTTAACAGCCCCATGATTTAACACAAGCAGTGACAACCTCAGATGGGATTCAGCGTGACATTACAGGCACTATAATGTAAAATGCAAGCTGGTAGCATTGTTGTCGCAGCTAACACGTCGCCAATGAGATTTTACAGACAGAACTGTTGGGTAGTGTGGCGTCAGGGTGGGAAGGTTGAAAGCCTCTCCTGCTTCAACAACAGGAGCCAAGAGTTGGGAGTTCATAATAGCCCCTCTCCATCCACTGGCATCTCTGCATTGGCATTGCCAGTGAGCACCTGAGGTGGTGCTTCTGGCATGACAGCCCTTTAAAAGTACTTCACTCTGCTTGGTGCTCTGAGGTTGGTAATGGTGGGCCTTTTGTCCAGGTAGGATTGCACTTTTGACCAGGAAATAACGTCAAAGTGTGGAAGACAAGGCTAGTGAAATGGGCAAAGCTCATTCAAGGAGACACTATTGGCCGAAAGGACTCTTTCAGTGTCATGACTTCAAAATGGACGGGTGGCTAATGCAGGAGACTGACACGCAGACCACACTGTCATTGGAACTAGCAATGTACAGGAATCTGAGATCTACAGAAACCGGTGATTGACTACGAACCGAGGAAGGGGAGAGGCGTCACTTTTTCTGCAACGGAAGAAGGCAGAAAAACATATCTCCTTTTGGAAACCATCTCGGAAGGGATAAGAAGCCAAGGCTGAATATTTCCACTGAGCCTTCTTCTCAGAAACCAACAGATTTTCCTTTTAAAGTGCAGTCCAAGCTGAACAGGGTCTCCTGTTCACCTTTTGCAAACGCTAATCCTTGCAGTCAGGGTCTCTGCCTGTGTCAATGTTAACACCTCATTATTCTTTAGCAGTCCTCCTGCAGCCTGCATAAAGGTCACCCTCCTGTGTTCCTTAAAGGGCTCGTTGCCTCAGCAACGGCGGTCCTACAAGACATTATGCCAAAGTTTACACACAGAAGGACAGTGGCATGACAAGCTCAGTCGTCTTTTATTATTTTAACTTTCACCTCTTGGAGATCTCCTTACTCCACTACAGTGCCCAAAACCGTCTCTCATTTCCACAAAGGTTTAAGAGGGCTAAGGGCCAAACACAGGTGCAAATGGGACGTTCGGTTCAAGAAACCTGGTCAGCATTGACAAGTTGTGACAAAGGGGCCTGTTTCCGTGCTGTATGACTAGGACCAGCCTTCAACTTTATAAACCAGGTGAACTTTTACAACTCTGGCTACACGAGGTCAGCTCTTTATTCCAAGTTATTTTTTCACATTGAGTTCAAAATCACAATCTGGCATTCCCGGGATTTGAACACATGTTCATCACCCACTACACCACTGTCTCACGGCAGTCTTTTAGAGGTGATGTGGGCACAAGCGATGTCAATATTTCCACTGCCATCCGCAGAATGGTGAGTTTTTTTTTCTGGGAACAGCTCACGTCTGGCGAGATAGGGCTGGAACTGGACACGACACACTCTCCTCAAGCCACTTTTCCTGTCGGCCCTGCTTTCTGACATGCCATGGGAACACAACCTTTTGAATGAAGTTCTCAAATTGCTGGCCACAATGTTTCTTTTCGCGTTATTATAAATTTTATCTGACGATGCTGTTGTTATGAACCCTTGGGATGTTTTGCAAAATGGCAGATGCCAAATGAATGCAGATGTTGCTGGTACCACTTACTAAGAGCTGTGCTGTTGTGCCAATTGTGCTTAGCTGGTAGTCACTGATTTGTCTGTTCACGTGGTGGAATTATAGAGATGATGGTGTGTGATCCTGGACAATGCTGTATGACCTGATGATTCTATCACAAAGAACGAGAGGGCACAGTCTAAAGTGAAGTGCAGACGTTGTGAGATATATATGTTTTCACCAAATGAGTAGATGGGATGTGGAACACCTGGCCTGGACATGTGGTGGAAGCAGGTTCAACTGAGGCATTCGGGAGGGTATTGGATTATTATTTGAACAGAAATAATACGCAGGGTTACGGGGTAATGGCAAAGGGATCGGCAATGAGAGAAAAATGCTCAAAACAGCCGGTGTGAACATGATGGGCCAAGTGGCCTCTTTCTGTGCGCTGACAATGCTGTGATTCCAGCTCACAGCCTTACACATGCAACAGCCTTTCCAACTGCTGGGAAATGGTCCACCTGAAGGACTGCATCAGGGAGTCATCTCCAAGCAATTCTCTGGAATTTTACTGACCTTCCTCACCTCCTCCACACCCTATCGTCCACCACCCAGTAGAATTTTGCCCCTCGACTCTACACATCAGTTGAGGGTAGTTTCTCCTCTGAAGAGCACTTGCTCTTCCTAAAACTCTTTATGTATGTCGGGGCAGAAACCAATGCAAACCACCCTCAGGACATGCACTCATTGGCACAGCTCTGGTTGGTCCTATTCTCAGGAGTTTGATTGAATGACCACTGACTATCACATTTACTGTTTACTCCCACATTCCTGTTGACAGCTATTCCACATGCCCATCTCCTGTCTACATGAGTCAGAAAGCCAACAGGCCTTCCTGCTTCCCTTTGCAGATCAGTCTTTGTTCCAGCTCAATTATTTTTCGAAGTGATAAACAAAGGTGTTTAAATGAAATAAAAAAAGACATTATTCACGCAGCTCTGACTTGTGGGCTTGTTCCCAGCAGTCAGCTGGATCTTCAATTCCTGGAAATTCCAATCCTACCCCTCAGCTTCCACACATGCAGACATCGACAGACACTCACACATACACACAGTTTTAACAGAGGCACAGACACACGTAGGTGGACATTCACACATACACAAAGACAGAAACAGAGACACAGACAGAACAGAGACTCACACAAATGCAGACAGAGACACAGATATAGACACACAATAAACACACATACAAACACAGGCACAAGACAGACGCACAGATGGATACATGTACACATGCAACACATTCCCACACAGACATACTCCCATGGGCAGACAGGCAGGCACACAGGACAGACACATATAGACTGACATCCACACACATGCAAATATACATATGAGACATATGAACACAGACAGACACACAGATACACACATATTAGACACATAGATGCATGCACACACCTAGATGTACACACATACCTAAACACAGACACACAAAGACAGAAGCAAATATAGATGGGTGCGTACACACACATACATCCACACACACACACACAGACACACACACGTAGCCTCTCATCAAGCTGTTTTATTGGGCTGAAAAACTTGGTTATGATTGGGTGCTATTCTTGCTGTCAAATGGGGAATAGTATATCACTTCAGGTGTCTGCGATTCAGACAGAGAGAATAACTTTACATTCGATAATGCCCACTGACCACCAACTCTGACATTTAAAAGATCAAAAGTCAAAATACAAACACAGATTTACATCCATATCCTGAATTGCTACCATGTTTTGTTTAAAATTAAACATGATCCTTTTGAAGCACTTTTTGGCCTCTAGCAGCATCACATGTTTCCGTCTTGAAGGTGTGTCAGATATACTGGCATCTGGGGTGGTACAGTGGCTCAGCTGGTTCACACTACTGCCTTTTTCTACCCTCGGGCACCTGTCTGTGTGGAGTTTGCACATTCTCCCCGTGTCTGCGTGGGTTTGCTCCAGTTTTCTCCCACAGTCCAAAGATGTGCAGGTTAGGCGGATTGGCCATGGGAAATGCCCATAGTGTCCAGGGATGTGCAGGCCAGGTGGATAAATCATGGGAAAAACAGGGATAGAGTAGTGGGGGAGGGGGGGTGGTGATCTGGGTAAGAAGCTGGGTAAGGAGGGTCACTGTTTACTTGATGGGCCATGTTAAGAAGAAAAGTCCTACTTTCTCTTATGCATAACTAGCAAAATGAAGATTTGAATAAAAATGTAACTCTTTTGGGAGCTATGAGACCCCTGCTAGAAATGCAAATCCACACTTTATTGAACCACATTATAACAGTATGCCTCAGTGCCTAACAGTCAGTGAAGTGCTGCTTTAATGTCGAGAATCATAACAGCCAGTCCATATACTGCACAGTCCCACAAACCACAGTGAAGTTCTCCCGTTCCACTCGATGGGCCGAATGGCCTGCTTCCACACTCTTACGGTTTCTGTTTTTTTTTTCGTTTCAGCCCTTAAACCGGGTCTGTATCTGATTTGACAGTGCTGGATGTTGGCACTGAGCATGAAAGATGGAAATGTGTAAGTCCCATATCTCAGTAGTACACACACAAAAGAAACCTCCATAAAAGCAAAATTTAAAAAAACGACAGATTTCAAAAGAAATGTCTCGCTGAAAAACGCATTGTTTCCCTAATCTCCAGCATCGACGTGATAGCATTTTATTTATGATGCCGATAAGTCTGTGTATTTTAGCTGAATGCAAACCAGCTATCTCTGCATCAGCTTAAGAGATAAGGCAACCCTGTGATGACAGGAAACATTTATGTGCTAAACAGCGTCCTTTAAGCACTGAAAGGCCTCCTGTCCTCACTGAGCTGTCTTGATGGAGAGATTACTTCGCCTGTCGCTTGCACCAGGATAGACAAAAGTTCACACAAGACAGACACCAGCAGCTCTTTTATTTGCTCGCAGAGACCCTGCTCTCTTGGTCTGCCTCACACTGCCACTACCAGGAACCGGTTCTCCTGGGGGCGAACCTACGGTGACTCTATAAAATACGATTTAAATTGGACCTTGAGCATCGTGCTGAAGCGTTTCACAGGAGCTTTAACAGACATTGAAGATAAAGTCACCAAGTTGCATGAAGAGACTAGAATTGATAGCAACACCTCTCCCACAAACCACTAGACTAAAGCCCACTCACATTGTTTCCACATTGACTGCATTAGATCAACTCCTCTCCTCCATGTGCCTCATAATTGGCTGAAATAGAATCCCATCCCCATC